GGGATCCCCCTGGGGTCTCTTTTATAAAAGGGGCGCTAACCCTATTCATGAGGGCTAACCATCTGTCAAAGGCCCCACCTCCAAATATTATGATACTGGGGGCTGGGATTTCAACATATGAATTTTTTTGGAGGCTAGGGGTGAATGTTTGGGGGTTACAAACATTCATTCTGCAGTGGATAGGAAAAGAATGAGGGAAAGGGCATTCTCATTGAGGGACCCAGAGTAACCAGAGAGATGGGACTTTACATAGTATATTCTTGAGATAATAGAGCAAGTTGGAAAGCTCTATTAGGAATATTTGGGAGAAAAAAGAAATAAATGACATTCTTACATGGGGTCAATTGATGGAGTATACAATTAGTTAAGAAGCAATCATTTCAGACACGCTCCTAGCCTTGGCTTTCTTTTCTTACATTTACATCATTTTTCATGATGCTGATGATGCCCACTGTCAAGGAGCATCTTTCCAGCTTACAGTGATTCTCACTCCTCCTTAACTATCTAACCCTTTCCCATTCATATGGGTGGGTTAGCTCCTAGGAGCAATGCTTGTGCAATGTAGTTTGATTCTAATGTCTGTTATTGGGGCTGCAGATGGTTCACTCTTGCTAGAACAGACATGCCATTCCAGGAATATGCACTTGAAACTAAAAGGAATTGAATCAACCTATCTCTTTCTTCATGGAGCTGGAAGAGACATGGGATCCTGGGAGCAGTGAGCAGCCATCATATCTGCCACATGGAATAGGCAGCTGAGAAATCTATTCTTCCCAGGAAAAGAAAGAGGCAGACACACAGAGGCAGAGACATGTAACAGAGCTCTCCAGTTTCCAGCTCTTATTCCTACTGCTTACCCAGCTATATTTCTGCTCTTGGAATCTGAGACACACTGTATCTTTTATTATCAATCCCCTCTTCCTGCTTAAGTGAACTTGGGCTAGGTTTCTATTATTAGAAGCCCAATGAGGCCTAATACAGTGGCGAACAAATAGATTTACTGAAGTCCTGCTGTCCTTTACTTTTGGACATGCTTCCTCAACTTGTGCTCTAAGGACAAGCTTCCTTTTATCCATCTTCACTCAACATCAGTGTGACTACATTGCTGTCTCATACATCTGAGTGTCACAGTCTCTATGCCCCTCTCTCTCCTTGTCCCCAGATCCCTTCCCAGCAGCTTCCTTTGATTCTCTTTACTTTCTGTCCTTGAATGAAAAGCTAACAAAGAAACACAGAAAGGCTGGGAGTGTAATTTATATATGCCTGAGGCTTATGAACAGATAATGGGTTCATTAGCTCAATTCTCTCGGGATGTGTGATGCAAAGGGATAGGACACAAGAAGGTTTAAAAATGAATATGCTATGCAGATCCTCCTACGGTACAGCTTCTCTCTGCAGCCGCCCCTGCTGATGGGACTCTCAAAGCTCCAATGCCAGCTGTGTTCCCTGCCCCCCGCTCCTCATGGCCTCAGCCACAGTGGGCTCCGCCAGATGTACATAACACACTGCTGCCCGAGCTTGAAGAGGTCACTATCTGACTGCAGAATCATAGACGTGGGATCTTGAGAGAGAAGCCCTTTCTTGCTGACAGGATCACACAGGCAAAGTAGGTGGACAAGCCCAAGGGCTCAGAAGCCTTTGAAGGGATTCCTAAAGGCAGAATAACCAAGCCCTAAACCAGCTAGCTGACAACTCTGTCAACCGTCGCAGTTTAGCCAACGGCCGAACTAAAAATAATCTGACACTTTGCCACAGCATGCCTGCCTGGCTCTGATGTGCAGGAGAAGTGCTGCAACACTAGCTGCTGCTGTATCTCTACCAATGCGAGGTCTAATGATGTAGCAAGGGTCCAGAGGTTTGGAAGTGAAGATGGCCTAGGAAGATCACCACCTAGTGCTCAGTTTGTTAGATGAACACTTCTTCTCTCTTACAGTGGCGATTCCTTTGCTGTCTTCAGAAGTAGTATACGAAGGGAGTCACGGTGTGGTGCTGGCTTCTTTCTGATAATATTTGATGATTATGCTTCTTGGATATCTTATTTCTATCAGTGATAGGTCTCATTCATATTTTTTTTGTAACTTCCTCCTAGACTAGGAGATCCTTGAGGGCAAGAGCCATGTCTTCATCTTTCTCCATCTCTGTATCTCTAGGATCTTACAAGGTTTGGCCATTTAAAAAGCTATCAATAAAATATTTATTAGACAAAAGAATAAAAGAACAACTGAAAATCAGTAAAATTCCAATCTTATGATGAGATGAGGGTCTGGGAAACCTGCACAAAGGATGTCATGACTGGTCTGAGTCTTCACGGAGTTGCCAGAGTTAATAAAGGATAGAAAGGAGAGTGAATGTTCCAGGCATTTGAAATTTCCATCAAGAGCACCAGAAGTGGCTCAGTAAGGCAGGTGGGCAAAAAGAGGGGATGAAGCTGAGAAGAAGAGCAGAGGCCAGAAGGACCTTGCATACTCTGCTAAAGAGTTTGAATTTTATTTTACAGGTGATGGGAAGCACAAAAAGATTTTCTGTAGGAGAGGAATGTAATACGATTTTCTTAGAGAAAATTGTCTTTGGTAGCAATGTGTAGGGTAAATGATGGCAGGCGTGGAAACAGGGCTGAGATGGGATTTCAGGGATCAACTAGGAGCCCCTGCAGTCAGTAATTCGAGTGAGGGATGAAGGAGGTCTGACTTATGGCTGAACAGACCTATTTCTGTCCTCTTCCTCCCACTGCCAGCTTTTCATCACCTCTAATACCATCACCTCCTCCTTCAGGAGATAAATCTGAGGATGCTGAGGAGTAACAGAAAAAGCCAACCACAATGATGCTTCACAACTACTTTTATCTTAGTTGGGCCACCCTAAAAGGCAAAATGACATTTTCCAGAAGGTCCATGGGCAAAAGACTCCTCTCTCCCCACCATTCCCAAGGAAGGACTAAATGATACTTTTGGATGCCATGGTCCTTGAGCCATCTCACTTCCTGCAGCACATTCTGTGCCCACCTTCCACACTGTACTTTTTTCAGCAAGGGAATGAAAAAGAAGAGGCAAAGGGAAAAGAGGAAGGTGGTAAAGGAGCAAGGCAGATAGTGAGGACCTTTCATTTATCTCATTCATGAATAATAAGAGTTAGAGCTGCTGAGAGAAGAGAAGCTGTTTATATGGCCCCATTATCAGAACTCAAAAAAGAAGATTAGGACAGATGCCCATGGTTATTTACTCAGCTTATTTCTGAAGGAAGATCATCTTTCTCTTCACTTTCTAAACGATAGCTGATGGGAGTTAGAAGGAGCAAAACCTAGGTGACTGGCTGACTCATTTAGTAGAGTATATGACTCGTGATTTCAGGATCATGAACTCAAGCCTTACATCAGGTGTAAAGCCTACACCTGATTTTATTTTAAGATTTCATTTATTTATTTGAGAGAGAGAGAGAGAGAGCAAGTGTGAGTAGGGGGGAAGGCAAGAGGGAGAAGCAGATTTCCTGCTGAGCAGAGGGCCTGATGCAGGAATTGATTCCAGGGTCTTGGGATCATGACCTGAGCCAAAGACAGACAGTTAGCTCATTGAGCCACTCAGGGACCCCTTCCCTAGGTTCTTAACCTTGGCTATACATTGAAACTAACTGATAATTAAAAACAAAATGCAAAAACAAACAAACAAACAAACAAACAAACAAACAAACTAAGCCTGATGCCTGAATCATACCCCAAGAGATTCTAATTTAATTGGTATAGAGGGTGGTCTTGGAATTGGTCTTTCCACAGAGTTTCTGCGGTAATCTGAATGTATACAGGTGGGCTGAGAATCATTGTTCTAGAGCAGGGGTCAGCAAAGTTTTCTGTAAAAGGCCAGAGAGAAATATTTTGTTTTATGGGCTACATGGTCTCTGCTGTAACTACTCTGCTCTGCTGTTATAGTGGGAAAGTATCCATAGACAATATGTAAATGAATGGCTATGTTCTAATAAAACCTTATTTATAAAAACAGGCAATGGGCTGGGTCTGGCTCATGAGCCTTAGTCTATTGACCTTTGCTCTAGAAGCATACTCCAAAGGTTGGGTGGGTTGTTCAGGTTGCTAACTCTGGCATGGAGAAAATAGGAGAAATGTTCTAGTTTTAAAAAAGAATTTGGGGGCAGCCCCGGTGGCGCAGCGGTTTAGCGCTGCCTGCAGCCCAGGGAGTGATCCTGGAGACCCTGGATCGAGTCCCATGTCAGGCTCCCTGCATGGAGCCTGCTTCTCCCTCTGCCTGTGTCTCTGCCTCTCTCTCTCTCTCTGTGTCTCTATGAATAAATAAAAATCTTTTTTAAAAAATAAATAAATAAATAAATAAATAAATAAATAAATAAATAAATAAATAAATAAATAAGAATTTGGCATTTGGAAGAATGTTCTAGCTTTATTTTAATAAAATGAGATATGTTTCTGAGTTCCATTTGATAAAATACTTTCATTAACCCACTATACTGTTTGACTTCTTAGGGAGACCATGTGGGATTTTTGTGTTTTGAAGAAAAAAAAATCCAATGAGGTATTAAAAAGAAGATAATTACAATCCGAAGTGGTGAATAGAAAGATTAACCATGTCAGAGAGACACTTAACTGAGAACCTAAACCAAGACAGAAAATCTAAAATCCAAATGAAAAAACAGTCAGTCAGGTCAGCTGGTGACCTGGTAAGTTTTGCATGTTCTCCAAGTTCCTTGGCTAGAATTCAACCAAGAGCCTGTTTCTCATTTGTTTGTTTTGCTGTTATTGTTTTGCTTTGAATTCTATGTGGAGAACCTGTTTTAATTTATGCTGTTTTTTTTATTTTGGAGAAATCTGGAGAAGGCAAAGACACATTGGAAAATGAACTTTTACCCAATTATTAAGTTTCTCTCCTGCTCTCACTGCTTTTTATCACTCTTTTTAGAAGGGGTGTCAAGTGATAGATGGCTGCAAATCATGTTCCTTATAGTCAAGGCTCTAAGATCCATGTGGGTTATGTGGTCCTCACCTTTATCCTATCAATGTTGGCTTCCATCTTCAGCTGTTCTACCAGCTTCCTGGCTTGTGCTATGCTGGCGGTGTTGTTGCTGGCCATTGGAATGCTGGGTGGTTTTTTCAGATACACTAGGAAAGAAAACAGGAAGAAAGAATGCATCAGGGAATTCAGGAGCTGCCAAAAGAGCAGATTCATCACGATGGGGGAAATTTAAAAGAGTGGCTGTGGTCAGGCCTGGCTCTCCCAGCTCTCTACATCACCAATCCAGGACCAAGCCTGATTACAGCAGACCAGGAGATGAGGTGTGGTTTTCCAAACACCCCACGCACAGCCCCAACACACACACACACACACACACACACACACACACACACACACACACACCTCTGTACTTCCATCCCTTCTTCAGGGAAAAACAATGAAGCATCAGTTAGAATAAGACATGCTGCTGAATTAAGAAAGCAAGCCATTAAAACTATCTTAATTTGTGAAATGAGTTTGAAATGGGAAGGGTGGCAGGATGCATTATTACTGTTGCTATTTTTCAGGTACTACTATTGTCAGATACTCTGTTTAAGTGCCTTCAGAGGATGAAGAATGAAAGGCAAGCAGAAAGGAATGGTAAATTATATAATCCTTTAGGACTAAAAACACCAAGTTTACAATGTTCTCCTGATGTGTTCCAATACCAACTTTCTAGTTAACTGTAACCACTTCAGTCTATTATACTGCAGAGACCCTGCAAAGGATGTGTGGCTTTTCAGTGTTGTTTATCCAGCATTTAAAAAAAATAGTCTTTTCTCTCTATTCTATTTGAAATATGGCTAGACACAACTATTTACTTAACTCACAATTCTTCATCTGTAATGTCAAAGGGGGAAGGACTGCCATGTCTAAATTGTTAATTGCATCAATGAGTGCACCAGCAGAATTCTGTATTTAGTATAACGGACTTACTACTCTTATAAATATGGAAATGGAACACAAATGTTTAGAGAGTGGAATTCATACTTATGTAAATTATGAGATGGTTTCTTTGCCTCTGGCTTTGCCAGATCACCTCCCCATCCTTTCTTCCACCTGCTTCAAGTTCTATCCCAATTTCATTCCTCTTCTAATTCTTTCTTGACCCACCATCTCAATTTAGTTTTGTTGTTCATCTTGGAAAGTACCCTATTTTATTTTTGGTGCCCATTTCCTCCACATTCTGATCAGGTCTCGCTCTATGTCAAGGTGTCATATGCTATTTCAGGACTGTCTGTGTAAATGTGCCCTTTGAGGTCACTGGCACCCCACAGTGAAGCAATGTCTGAGAGCAGCAATTTAGCTAGAGTGCATGACCCAAGAAATGAGAGGCATTAAAGCCTTACTTCAGTCAACAGTCGAATCTTGTTCTGAAGACATATTAAATAAAACCATGACTTATAGCTTTGGGGCAATATTTTTATCCAGGGATAAAGTAAAAAATCAGGCTACTATCTCAGAAAGGAAAGAAGATACATAGAAAACCCAGGGAAGGAGGTATAACCCACAGTAAGTTCAATACAAGACTGTTACTTATTCAGGAAAAAAATTGTTAATTACCAAAAAAGCATAAATATGGAAATTATCTTTTTTGGTTCTTATATCTCAATATCTTGTTCTTCAAGGCAATAGAAGAAATTGTAAACAAAGAGGTCCCTTCATAGTGAGTGTTATTTTATAAAGAATACTGCAAAATCAGCCACCCCAACAGCATTTACACTATAATTGGAAGATAATTAACTATTCCCTCAAAAAAAAAAAAAAAACAAACCTATTCCCTTAACTTATTTTCAAAGACATCAGAGAATAAAATGGAAAGGAAGACTGAAGGGATTCTGAAGCCACAAAGATCTCTGAACTGTATTCATATCCTTGAAGAACAAGAGGAGGGATCTTTATGTAAAAACAAAAAAACAAAAAGAGACTTTAACAACTCTGATTTGGGACCCCATCATTTCAAGCAGACTTCGTGCCGAGCACAGAGCCACACACAGGGCTCAACCCCAGGACCCTAAGATCATGACCTGAGCCAAAACCAAGAGTGGAATGCCCAACTGACTATGCCACCCAGACGCCCTAAACTTTTAGAATTACTTTGGGCATTGTCTTCTTTTTCACATCCAGCTGCTTTCCTACAAAATTCTCCTCCTGAAGACTGAGAGCACTATAGAGTCCTAAGCCAGTGTTCCAAAGAAATACGTGTTTTCCTAAAAAGTGTCTATGGTAAATAAGAAAAGTTAGTCTGTCTCCTAAGCTTGAGGTATTTGGACAATGCATCACACACAGAGACACACACATGCACACACTAAGAACCCTTTTCATCTTATAAAACTGAAACTCTGTACCCAATAACTGTAAGTCCCATTCCTTCCTCCCCTCAGCACTAGAAACCACCTTCTACTTTTTGTTTCTATGATTTTGGCTACTCTGGGCACCTTGTAGAAGTGGAATCATACAGCATTTATCTTTTTTTGACTGGCTTATTTCATGAGCATAATGTCCTCAAGATTCATCTGTATCGTAGCGTGTGTCAGAATCTCTTTCCTTTTTAAGGCTGAATAATATTCCACTGCGTGTATATACATTTTGCTTATCCATTCATCTGATGAGAGACACTTTCATTGTTTCCATGTTTTAGCTACTGTGAATAATACTGCTATGAACATGGGTGGACAAATATCTCTTCAATCCCCTGCTTTTAGTTCTTTTGGGTATATACCCAGAAGTAGAATTGCTGGATCATATGGTAAATCTATTTTTAATTTTTTTGCGGAACAGCCATACTGATTTCCATAGCAGATATACCATTTTACATTCCCACCAAAAGTGCATAAGGAATCCAATTTCTCATCTTCCCAGCACTCATTATTTTCCATTTTTGTTTTTCTGTTGTTTATTTGGTTGTAGTCACCTTAATGGATGCGAGGTGGTATCTCATTGTGGTTTTGATTTACATTCCCTGATGATTAGTGACATTGAGCATCTTTTCACATACTTGTTGACCATCTGCATATCTCCTTTGGAGAAATATCTATTCAAGTCCTTTGCCCTTTTAAAAAAAATGTTTTATTATTTTTAAGTAATCTCTACACCCAATGTGGGTATCAAATCCACAACTCTGAGATCAAGCGTTGTACACTCTACTGACCAGGACATCCAGGTCCCCCAACTTTGCCTTTTTTTGAACCAAGTTTTTTGTTGTTGAGTTTTAGGAGTTCTGTACATATTCTGTATATTAATCTATTCTCAGATATATGGGGTTTGCAGACATTTTCTCTCATTCCATAAATGGCCTTTACACTCTGCTAATAGTGCACTTTTATGCACAAGAGTTTTTAATTTTCATAAAGTACAATTTTCTTTTGTTGCCCATTCATCTGGTGTAATGTTCAAGGAATCATTGCCAAATCTAATGTGGTGAAGTTTCTCCCCTATGTTTTCTTCTGAGAGTTTCATAGTTTTAGCGCTTATGTTTAAGTCTTTGATGTACTTTGAGTTAATTTTTGTAAATGCTGTTGGGTAAGGGTTCAACTCCATTCTTTTGCACGTGGATATCCAGTTTTCCCAGCACCACTTGTTGAAAGGATTTCCTTTTCCAAGTTGAATGGTCTTGTCACCCTTATTGAGAGTCATTTAACCACATAGGTGAGGATTTATTTCTGGGGTCTCTGTTCCTAAGTTAATTCTAAGTCCCTATATATTTTATTATTTTTGACATTATTGTCAAATGGAATTGTTTCCTTAATATCCTTCCCATATTGTTCATTGTTGGTATATAAATGCTACATCATAGATTTCCAACGGGGAAGACAAAAACTTTTGTCTTTTGTCCCTACCTAAGTTGACAGCAATTGCATGCAATGGGAAATGTTGTTGAGAAAAGGGTGTTGCATCTTGTGAGCATATCAGGCCAAGAGAAAGTGTTGACAGAGTCCTGTTAGGTGCTTAGGCAGAAGCATAGATGCATATCAGATATCCTTTGCTAATGTTCCTGTTTCACTTTACATCTGACAGAGATTGGGCAGATATTATTTTAAGAAGGAAGGAAATGGTTTGACTATACCAACCACTGAAATAGCTAAAAGAAAAAAAATTCTGCTGAAAAGATCACGTACACAAAGCTTTAACACACACACACACACACACACACACACACCAAAAAAACCTTTAGTTAAAAAGAGAGGGTGATTAATTTCTGTACACCACTCCCCCTCACCTCATCAGCTAGTTTTTGGATTGCCTTGTGATGCACCATATTTTACCTTTGCAGGGGCCCAGCCTGGCCCTGGAACCAGAGGCCCACCTCAAAGATGCACCTAGCTGTGGATCCTAACTCTTCTAGAAATCACTGGGGCAGAGGGAAATAGAATCAGAGTCTGGCTGTCATGGGGAGACTCTAGATTCCAGAGCTTGCTTCCAGAATCGCAAAACATGTCTGGGAATCAACTGGGGTAATGATCAAATGCTGGTAGTGCTGGAGTGACACACTCTTCAGCCCAGCAATCAGTAGCCCACCCTTCTCAAGTACTGAAATGGGTGGTTACACATCTCTGAATTTGAATCAGAGAATATAATACTGCAGATTAATTCTTTCAGAATTCTACAGCCAAGATCTCTTTTCAAGATTCTAACAATCGATCCTCTGGAATTTCCAAGTGGGATTTAACTTATTCTCTAAGCCTCACTGACAATGGTTCTCAATGAAAGGAAGTGCCACCCTTTGAAGTATTTGGAAATATATGGGAGTGACCTGGGTTATGACAGTATTGAGGGGTATTGCACTTAGAGAGCAGAGGCAGAAATTCTAATGTCCTGTAGAGTGCCAGGCAATAATGAATTGGACTGCTCCTGGTCCCTCAGTGAGAAGGGACATTGGAAAAAAAAATAGCCATAGATCCATGCATGAGGAATCTGCTCAAAGAAAGTAACTCCACAAGGAAAGGTTCAACTAAATTGCTTTTATATTATGTCTTAGGATCCCTATTACCTTCCCAGGGATGAATAAGTGTTAAGTGCTCATAATTCTCATTAGCATTATTATGCTTTATGGATATTTAGTCCCTGCTTATTTAAAAGAGAGCACAATCTCTTGCAATGTGCTGGT